ATTCATCCTTTATTTGGTTCGGTCCTCTGCGTAAAATCAGCGCATTTCCCCTCCTAAATTATTTGATTTCCACAGTGAAATATGTTTCAACTTTGTAGTGTGTAAATTACTCATTTGGTGGATTTATTAACTGAGGCAGTCTAGTCCTCTGGGACCCTCTAAGTTGTTGCAAATCTCATTCCCCTTCTTTGACTAAAACAGGAAGACAAAGGGCACATCCTTGCCAGATTTTTTTTTAACCAAAGAGTTCTTCTAACTTTGTTTTTGTCTCATTTATGGAACTGCCTAAAAACGGTTTTTTTTCCCTCATCATTTTCTGTAGAGGTTAGTTCATGTTGACACTTGCAGAATGCTTAAATCTAATTAAAGTGAGGAGACCAGAACTTCGAACTAAAGGAATTATAACGCGGTTCTTTTTTCCTGAGTTTCTGCTTTTTTTGAACCTTCTTTAGCAGTATTATAACATCCAAGTCAGCAAATCATTTAGCTCTGACCATATCTCCTTTTTTCAATCCTTTGAATATATATGTTTTCCCATGTTGTTGCCATAATTGCCGTTTTCTAAGATGCTGGAATGGTTGAAATGGAAAATTGGAAAAGGATGTGTGTTAGTTAGTTTGTCTGCCAAGAAGGACAGAGAAAGGTCATATTTATATTGGCATTTGTCTAGTTGAAATGAACCACTTCAAAGGAAGAGGCGGGCCATGTTTAAGTGAATATTTTGGCTCTGACTAAGTGGATTTTATCCTCCTCTTAGTTCTAGTGTTCTAGTCATTTTAATTATAAATGACCAATGATTTTATTTCAGATATTGAAAAGAAGATAATGGTATAATGGGTTCACATTTGATTGGAAGGAAGCTATTTTAAAGTATATTTTCTTAACATCTTCAGTATTTAGAAACCTGAAACACCAGACTGGGGAAATAGTACAGGGATTAAGATACTTGCCTTGCACACTACCAACCTGGGTTCCATCTCCAGCACTGCATATGGTCCCCAAGCACTGCCAGAAGTGATCCCCACTGGATGGGCACAAAAGAGTGGGCGTTGAGGAGGGTGGGGAGAGTGAGAACAAAAAGGAACCTGGCTGAAACCTGGAAAAGCGTGAATATGTTACAAAGCCTGTTTTTAAATGGTTCATTTTTCTTTGTCCTAAGAGACCTTTGCCTACATCTAAGCCATAATGTTTATTCTAGGTATTTTTTTAGATACTTATTTTAGCTTTATATGAGATATGTGCTTATGTCAAACTAATGCCTGATCTGTAGAAGAGGTCAAGGTTAGTTTTGTCTCTGTTTGGATACCCTGTACCACAGTTAATTGACTTGTGTGATTGGGCATTTCTAGTTCTCAAAGTTGTCATGACCTTTTTCATCCTAGAATACTCATAACTTGGGCTGACCCTTTGCACTCAAGCACTACTGTATTTCAGTTGAGCTGCTTTTGAGATGTGGAGGGTATGACCAAGAGAGAAAGTTTAAAGTGCTGAAGGGTATATTTTGCATGCAGGATTCCTGGCACTACATAATTCACTTGGCACCACAGGTATGCACCCCTCCCCCAAAAGGAAGATGCACACCTTCCAAAAGGGACAGATTTATTTGCAGATTATAGAGGTCTCTGGCAATCTTTTAATGTCTCACTGCTGTAATTCACTTGAGAGGATCCCCAAATTAAATGCCAGTGTTTAGCTAGAGAGCTGTTCAGCCTTGAGTAATGAGCATCATCAGACAAGAATAGAGGGTGAAGCAAAAAGGTGGATTACTTGATTCTGTATCTCCTGCTTCCTGGGAGTTAAAAAATGGAGGTAAATGCAGCTTTTTGTTTATTTATTGATGCATGCCAGATGTAGTGCCTCCTTACTCCCCACTCTGTCTCCTTTTTTTGTCTTTGTACATTAGATGAGGAGATCTGATTTACATAGGTTTTACGCAAGAAACAGTAATCTTTCTTTTAAATTTTTATTAGTGAAACACCATGAGGTACAGTTGTAGACTTACAAATTTTTGTACTTGGGTTTCAGTTATACAATGATCAAGTACCCATCCCTCCACCAGTGCCCATTTCCCACCACCAGGGGTCCCAGTATCCCTCCCACCCCCCATCTTCCCCATCCCACCCTGCCTCTGTGTTCTCTTCTCCTTTTGGGTGCTGTGGTTTGCAAAAGAGGCATTGAGTGGCAATCATGTTCGGTCTATAGTCTGCTTTCAGCATCTTTCTCCCATACTGGGAGGATTCTCCCAACACCCTTTATTTGGTGCTCCCTTCTCTATCTGAGCTGCCTTTCCCCCCAGCATGTGTGGCTGGCCTCCAGGCCATGGAGTAAATCTCCTAGTACTTATCTCAGCTATTCTTGGGTGTTAATCTCCTGTTTTGTTTCTTTATGTTCCCCAGATGAATGCAATTTTTCTATGTCAACACAGTAATTGTTTTATTATAATTTATTTATTTATTGAATCATTGTGGGAAAAGTTACAAAGCTTTCAGGTTTAGGTCTCAGTCATGCAAATATCAAACACCTTTCCCTTTACCAATACTTATTTTTTACCACGAAGAACCCCAATAAAACCCCACCCCCCACCCCTCCCAATGCCTGCGAGGCAGATGAATTCTAGTTGACACTCTATCTGCTTTGGTTAGATTCATTGTTTCAATAAAAGATGCACCACTATTATTTAGAGTTTACCCTCTCCCCCCAGATCAGACTTGCTGAGAAAGCATTGTGAAGTGATTCGCTTTCTACAGCTGGGTTCAAGAATTAAATGTTGGTTTTGGATTTCCGCTATTTTGCTAATTAACCCTGGAAGTATTTCTACTGAGAGTCAGATAATTAAGAGATTGGTTTCTGTGCTCTGGAGTCGTGGCCGTGCTGGTGAGCCGCTCGTGGGGGGCAACTGGCGGCCTCGGTAGGGCGTGAAGGACGGACTGGAACGCCCCCCTTCCCATGAGGTTTTAGTCGTCCCCACACCCCTAGCTCACACCTGCTCTCCACAAGGCACCCATGTGGTCGCCATCTTCTTTCCAGAGAGGAGAGGGCGAATGGGGCAACACCCTTTCCCCTCCAGGCAGACATGATGGCCTGGATTAACGCATAGTCCATTCACTTTTCTACTCCAAGCTGCTGGGTTCTGCATTAAGTCCTTGTGCTTCTGGGGCTGTGGCCGTGCTGGAGAACCACTCGTGGGGGGCAACTGGTGACCTCGGTAGGGCGTGAAGGACAGACTGGAACGCCCCCCTTCCCATGAGGTTTTAGTCACCCCCACACCTCCGGCTCACACCTGCTCTCCACAAGTCTCCCATGCGACCGCCATCTTTCTTTACAGAGGGGAGAGGGCAAATGGGGCAACACCCTTTCCCCTCCGGGCAGACATGATGACCTGGATTAACGCATAGTCCGTTCACTTTTCTGCTCCAAGCTGCTGGGTTCTGCATTAAGTCCTTGTGCTTCTGGGGCTGTGACCGTGCTCCAAACTTAACTCTGATTTTCAGGGAGAAACGTTGGGTGATTTACTTCCCATTGATCACTTTGTATATACAGAGATGTCGCACGGCCGCATAAGCGGCTGCGCGGTTTGGAGGAAAAGTCCTAGTTCCCACATACTTGAGCTATGCTTGTGGAGGCTTCTGGTCACCGAGGTTCCATCTGGGGGAGGCGGGATGCGGCACCTACCCCATCTGGGACTTCCCGGTGATCTCAGCTCTTTTTGGAACCTGGTTTCTTCTCCGGGAGCTGTGGAGCCAGCCCTCCATGTGGTCCTTCTTCTCTCTGTACGGCAATGTCAACACAGTAATTTTTAAGTTGTAAAGTTAATTTTCCAAGATAGGAAAATGTGGAGGAAAGACAGTAACTTGGCTCTGATATGAAATTTCTGTACAAGAATTAACACTTGATTCATTTTACAGTGTATAGAAGGTATTAGTAAAGTTTATTAAATGTAATCAATTATTGGGGCAGAGTTATTGATAGTTCAGCAGATAGGGTTTTTTTTCCTTCTTAGGGTGGACAGGGGTATCTATAGCTGATATGTCCCTCAAGTACCACACTCACGGTCCTCCCGTTGTTCATCGATTTGCTCGAGCGGGCCCAGTAACGTTTCCATTGTGAGACTTGTTGTTACTGTGTTTGGCATATCAAATACATCACGGGTAGCTTGCCAGGCTCTGCCGTGTGGGCGAGATACTCTCGGTAGCTTGCCGGGCTCTCCGAGAGGGGCGGAGGAATCGAACTCGGGTCGGCCATATTGATCGCTTGTAAGACAAACGCCCTACCACTGTGCTATCGCTCCATCCCTCAAGTACCTCCAAGGGTAAACCCTGAATACATCAGGGTATGGCCACAAACAAACAATGTAATCAATTCTGAATTGACCTAGCCAAAGATAACTTAAAATTCAGTCTTCTAACATTACTCCAAATGTATAGTAACACACGCAAAATAAAAATCCTTCAAAAAAAGTTCTCAGACAATGACTTTTGTTAATAGTATTGTAAGATATAATAGTGATTATAGATTGACTTTACTAATCTGTTTTGTGATCATTTCATTTGCTATTGTGTTGTAACAAGCAATGTGAAGTAAATTTGTGCCTGCAAAGGGAGCAGCATTGAGAGCTGGGTGGGAAACTGGGAGCATAGAGGGAGGGGAGGTCACTCTGGTGGTGGGGTTGGTGTTGGGATAATGGATGCCTGTAGCAGCTGTATTATGAACAACTTTGTAAGCCGTGGTGCTTAAGTTTAAAAAAAAAAATCTTTGAAATCTTTAGAAATATTTAGACCTAGCACTATGTTAATTTTTGATAGAGAGTAAAAATTCTTGAAACTCATGAATAGCTTCAGGCCCCATCCTTCCCATGACTTTGGGATGTCTTCCTAAGCACTGGGAGGCAGCACATCTTTCCAGAAAGTCAGAGTATCTTTCTGTGTACAGGGCAGAGTGTATATTTTTCCCTCTTTGCTGTGTTGTGCCAATCACTGTGTCATCTGCTCTTGTCTCTGCAGGCATGCTTCAGAAGTGTCCTTCCATTGATGACTTTGTAAATGCCCTGGTTTCTGACTTGGACCTGGACTTTGAAACTTTCCTCATGGATTCTGAATGATGCGAGTACCATGAACCTTCTACATCAAGATCATACCGAAACTAACTTTACTGTAAATGTACAGTTGTGAAACCTTGTTTCTGTTATCAGTATTCACTTCTGTTGTGACCTCTGAAAAGCCTTAAATGGAAATTGAAATAAATAATTTGTTTTACACTGTGCTGGTCTTTAGCCTATTCAGCAGAATTTTGAATTTATAGAAATCTACAGCCCAGAGTTCTTAGATTTAGGACATGGCCATTTTCCTTAGTCCATTCACTTTCTTGTTGAACTTCTCTCCCTTTACAATGATCTTTAATTAATTGGTCAAGCTAGGGACTTAATTGAAAGCAAAATTATTTTAGTGTGCTGCAGTTTTCAGAAAGAGTACACATATTATTTTTTGAAGGATATAGTGATCTGTAATAGGCTTAAAAATGCATTTACAGAAACCAAGAAACCAAGTGTGGATCTGAAGTACTTGAATTTTTCTGCTCTTCTTTCCTGAGTGGTAAGACCCTATACGATGGAACAGAGAATTCATGCTTTTCTGCCATGACTGTGAACATACAGCTATTAAGTGCAGGTCAAATTAGTAGGTCATGTGCCCAAATCTAACTCTTGCAAAAGAAGGAAACAAATGTAAATCCCATATCCCTTTACTTAGCCGAAAACCTTTTTATTTTTAAATCTTATTGAATCACTGTGAGATAATTACAAGTTTTCATGTTTGGGTTACAATCACACAATGATCAAACACCCTTCCCTCTACCAGTGCACATTCCCCACCACCAATATCCCCGGTATAACCCCCCTTTCCCACCCTCCTCCTCCATGGCAGACAATATTCCCCATACACTCTCTCTACTACTGGGCATTATGGTTTACAATACAGACACAGATGTTATCGTGTTTGGTCCTTTATTAACTTTTCTGCACACATCTCCCATCCTGACCAGTTCCTCAAGCCATCGTTTTGTTAGTGATCCCTTCTCTATTCCAGCTGCTTTCTCCTCTTTGCTCATGAGGCAGGCTTCCAGCTATGGAGCAGTCTACCTATCCCGTGTATCTATTATCCTTAGGTGTCAGCCTCATATTATGTTGTTTTATACTCTACAAATGAGTGCAGTCCTTCTATGTCTGTCCCTCTCTTTCTGACTCATTTCACTTAGCATGATACTCTCGATGTCTATCCATTTATAAGCAAAGTTCATGACTTCATCTCCTAACAGCTGCATAGTATTCCATTGTGTAGATGGACCAAAGTTTCTTTAACCAGTCATCTGTTCTAGTGCACTTGGGTTGTTTCCAGGTTTTGGCTACTGTGAACAGTGCTGCAATGAACATGTAGGTACAGATGTCATTTCTACTGTGCTTTTTTGCATCCTTGGGATATATTATGAGAAGTGGTATCGTGGGGTCATATAGAAGCTCAATTTCTAGTTTTTGAAGAACTGTCCATATTGTTTTCCAGAAAGGCTGAACTAGTAGCCATTCCCACCAACAGTGAAAGAATATCCCTTTTTCCCCACACCCACGCCAGCACTGGTTGCTAGCCAAAACCGTTTTTGTTTTACATTATTGTATTCTCCATCACCACCAAGTATTAATAGTAAGAAATTCTTTAATGGATTTTCCCCACCAGCCAAATCAAGAATTGAATCAGTAAAATTAAGCACTTGTCCAGTCTGTTCACAGATTCCAAAGGAATTTTTAACAGCTCAGAGAACAGATGAGACCAGACGGAGAAATGTCAGTGGCCTGAGGTGACACTCTTTCTCTCTGCCCACCTGCCGCTCACTTTGAGAAGTTGATGTGCACCATGCTGAGAACAAGGCTGCCAGCATGCTGCCAAACTGGCACTAGCTGGCTGGCCATAGTCTGCTGTCTGTTCCTCTTCCTGTTGCTCTCGGTAGACGCTTAAAAGCAGCAACTTAGAGACTTCGTGGGCAATATGTGGTGTTTCCTCTGTGCCCAAAGCAAAGTTATGGGAAGACAAAGCTTGGGATGGTGTTGGCAGAAGAAGCCTAGAGGCTGGCGCCCTGGGAGGAATTTGGCTCCTTCTAATCTCTGCCCTATTTAGGTACAACATTGAAGCTAGAGGAAGAAAAGCGCCTATCTCATAAATTTGCTGCACAAAGGCTAGCTCTACTCTGAGAAATGCTCTTGGAAAAACTGACCACTACTTGCCCATCAGTGCTAAGTAATCTGAGAAGGTTTCTTTAATCAGCTCTCAGTTTGTGCCACTCACAGTGATGAGCCTGAGTCTTCGTCAAAGGCATTTGCCTTTTCAAAAGTTGAAAGTAAGGAAGCCGAAAAAGAAATTTCTCTGGAACCTATATGTAAACATGCTTTAGGAAAAAGGAAGTTCTGGAATGCCAGGACTTTAAAAATTATTTCTTCAGGAACTAAAGTACATGGGAGAAAATCGCTCTCATGAGATTCCCCAAAGCATGGTGTTTTGTGAAGATGGTAAAGGTAAAGGTAAAGGCCCTCCCGTTGATCATCGATTTGCTCGAGCGGGCCCAGTAACGTCTCCATTGGAGACTTTGTTGTTACTGTGTTTGGCATATCGAATACTCTCGGTAGCTTGCCAGGCTCTCCGAGAGGGGCGGAGGAATCGAACTCGGGTCGGCCATGTTGGCCGCTTGTAAGGCGACCGCCCTACCGCTGTGCTATTGCTCCTATAAATACCAGGCAGAAATGAAAGGATAACAGACATGCTTTGAAAGGAAGATAGAGTAGGAAAGACATTCTAAAGAAACGAATAGTTACACTTTCTCACCATGAAAGAGCAAAATTATTGGAAAGAAATTTAAGAAGCATGTCAGAAAGGCAGGTTATAATTAGGGAAGGCATGAGGTACCAGCTCACAACTGTGAGAAGAGGGCCGGAGCGATAGTACAGTGGGGAGGGTGTTTGCCTTGCATGCGCCAACCCGGGTTTGATCTCCAGCATCCGATATGGTCCCCTGAGCACCACCAGGAGTAATTCCTGAGTGCAGAGCCAGTAGGTCCCTGAGCATCACTGGGTGTGACCCAAAAAGAAAAAAAAAACAAAACACCTGTCAGAAGAGGTGTTCTTCAAAGAACATGAAATGTTTTGGAAAGAGTACATAGAGAGATAGGAGGCCTTATACAATATTGGGAAAAACAGAAAATTTGCACAATTATTATGGAAAAGCAGTACAGAAAGTTCCTACAGAAGTTAAACTCCATATCGATCTCTCCCCCTTCTAGGTTATTACCCAAAGAGTGTGACTGCACTAATTCCAGAGGCATCGGCAACTCCCTGGGTTTTTTTTTTCCACTATTAGAAACAAACTATATGCCTGTAAGATAAAAAAAAAAAAGGATGTGGTATATATTCACAATGAAATACTATCCAACATTAAAAAATAATTAAGATCTGCAAAATCATGCAATTTGTTGCAACATGGATTGAATTAGAGGTATCATATGAGTAAAGTCAGGGAGAAGGAAAAGAGCAGATACAGAATGGTTCTGTCATAGGTGGAACTGAGAGATACACAGCAAGGGAGCAGCAAGGGGCCAAAGGCAACACAATAATCCATACAACTGAGTTGGGGTTGGGGGTTTTAAAAGGGAGGGGTTCCTTGGGAGAGGAGATGAGCACACTGGTGATGGATGTGGTGTTAGAATCATTTGCATGAGGAACCATTGTTAACAGTATTGTAAATCACAGAATCGCAGTCAAATAGAAAATATAGTAAAATTTTTTTTATTAATAACAAGGTGATAATAACAAGAGTAAAGTAGATGTTCTGTGGTTACCAGAGGGAAGTGGTGGGCTGGGGTTGAGGGCAGGGGTGTTGGGGTCAGATAATGTTAAAGGCCCCACCTGTATAGTGATAGATGGATCTTTAGTGATAAATAAACTTTATGCAGTATATACAGTAGATACTGGTTTATAATGATGCACACTGTACTATGTAATGGTATAGTGAAATGTTACTTTTAAAAAATGGGGGCTATATCTGGCACTGCTCAGGGACTGCTCCAGTACAAGCTATCAAACGTGGGGTCCTCAGGCAAAGCATGCCTCAGCCCCTTGAGCCTTAAGAAAGGTTGTGCTGAATGCTGATAGCAGCAGCAGAGCAGAAAACAACTTTCTCCAGGTAACGGAAATCTTGAAAACACAGACAGGACAGTGGGGAAAAAAGATACTAAAATCCGATTCTTGCATTTGCCTGTATTCTCTGTGTTCAGACCAATGAGTGACCAGCTCACTGAAGTAGGTGGTCAGTGAGTAAGCACTATTGAATGACTTTAAGGAAGCATTTTAAGATGAAAGGAATGAGTTTGCAATTTAAAAGCGACTCCTGGGTCTGGATGAAGCAAGTGTCTTGCATGAGGAAGCCCCAGGTTGATCCCTAGCATCAACCTGACATGCCAGCTGAGTGCCAGGCTGTCAGGCCCAGTCCAGCAGGACAAGTACTGCCAAGAATGACCCCAGTTCCTACGAGAAAAGGGTCAAAGAGACTCCGTGATTTCCCAATAGTATGGATGCATTTATTACCACCAAATTTATGCTTATAATGGTTTAAACAGCAAATCATATTAAATATGTTTTACCATCAGTTATAGAAAGAATAAGAAAATCCTGCATTCCAAACCTAAATAGTTTACACAGTGACACAGACCTTCACCAAGACATAATCTGCCTCCCTTTTTTTGAGAACTTTAATCTTAATATTATTAAAATTATAGGCCAACTTATCCTAACTTGGAGTTGACAGAACACTTCCCAGTAACTATACTTAGTATTCCATGAACCTAAAAGGGGCCCATTATTAAATACATATAAGAAATGCAAAGTAAAATTTGACAATTCATTATAGCACTATAATTCTACAGTAACAAAGCAAATTAACTTTGCTAATATGACCCCAAACTGAAGCATATTTGACCCGGATCCATGCCCATTTTTGTTGTACTGATAACATTCTTTCAGAGCACTGGGAAATAACTGCTAAACATGATCAGCTAGAAGTAGCAGGCTGATGTATAAAGTAATAAAATTGTATTGTTTCCAGAATGCAAATATTTGTCATTATTAAACTCCAAGGAACAATGAAAAATATTTTTTTTTAATTTATTTATTGAATCACTGTGGGAAAGGTTACAAAGCTTTCAGGTTTATGTCTCAGTCATGCAAAT